TGTTTCGTTTTCAACAATTGCTGCAGGTGGCGCTACCCACATGACCCGTAAAATCGATGGCCGCCCTGGTCGTATCCATAATGCCTGACTGAAATTAGATCAAAGATGACCACTCCAAATCGACATAAAAAACGATACAATTAAATACTGAAAACTTTTTATTTAAAAGTTCAGGTAAGCTTTGTTAAAATTGATTTTTCCTTTCACCTTCGTTTTTATTATATATACAAAATTATACAATATGAAAGCGGATTAGCAACAATTTTTATTGAAATTTAGTCTCAATTTTACAATTTTTCTTTGAAAAAAAAAGTGACAAATAAACACATTTGTGTTTATTCGAATACAAATAATTTTTATAAAATAATATAATACATAAAATTCGTATTGCATTATTAAATCGTGTATTATAAATCGTAAGGATGTAATAGTAACATGCTCATTGGATTTTATAATTCACGTGATATAATGTCTCATTAACGGAAGTAGTTAGCTAATAAATAAATTTAAATATAATTAACACAATCTCCGCCCAAAATTCTTAAAATTATTATAACTTGTTTAATTTAATCAAAAATAACCCATAAAAAAAAAATAAAAAGGAAATATAATTGTTATTTAACGAAGCTCTTTCACAAATAATTGTAAACAAATGAACGAAAGCGCGATGAAACTCATAAACAACAATGCCAACTTCGTGACATCTGGCCAATAAGCTGAAGCATTGAATCCAAAAGTTGATAAAATAGTTGCACCAGGCACCTGTTACCGAAAAAAAATAGAATATAAAAAAAATAGAATATAATTAATCACCTTATTAAATATTATTGTAGTTAGTACAAATACATGTAAAATCGCATACATCTATTTGAAGTCCATATTTCTCTTCCGTCAGTTGAAGGTATACAACTTCATTAACAAGCATAGCCTCGAATGCGTAATTGAAAAACGACAAATGTTTCAACCATGCAAGATAACTCGGAATTGATTCTATAAAATAAACAACGTCAACTATTCGTATTCGAAAATAAAAGATTCAATGTGTAATAATAAATATTCACCTTTATTAAGCAGCAGGCCGCCAAATAACATACTGAATAACATTACCAAACTACTCAACAAGCTGGCAACTCCTACCTCTTTAAAAATAATACCGATACACAAGCAAATACTAGCTGCGGTAAGATTAAACAATACCAGAACTAGTAAAAACTTGAAGAATTCGGAGACGCCAGCAACCAGCCCCACCATTTGATAAATTATAATACCCATCAGAATAGGTGGTACAACCCGTAGTGGGATGATGTCAAATAGAACCTAATATAATTGCATATAGTTTAATTTAATTTTTATATAATGAAAAAAGGGATTTAAATTTAATATACCTTAGAAGTGAAATATGTAATTGGTGCGTAATATCCGTTGGCCCTTTCTTTCACAAATATTATCCTTTCTGCTGCAAATACATTTAGAGAACTCAAACATCCAAATCCAAGAAGAGCACACATAAAGAATAATATGCCCATGCGATTTTGGAATCCGGCAATGTCGTTAGTAACCTTGTAGAACAAGGCGCCGCAAAGTACTACAATAATTCATGTTAATAATGATGTTAATAATGATGTAGTTTAAATATATATATGTTATATATATATGTTTTAAATAAACTTACCTGCAAGATAAACACTGATACAATAATGTGTTAACATTAACATAGGATTTCTATACAAATTTTTGAATGTACGATCCGATAAAATTTTAAATTGTGTAGACCACGATGCACGACGATGAGAACTAAGAATTAATGATTCTTGGACCGATGTTAAAACTGGTACATTCTGTTCGCTGCTGATTTATTTAAACAAAAACAAATATTATTTTAAAAACAAAATTGGTAAAATATTCTACAAATGCCAATTTTTTTTTTACCTGTTGACAGAACGATCTATTTCATTCCTAATTCTAGTGGCAATAGAACTTTTACGGTAGCTGTCAACTAACATCCTTAAATGATCACTCATATTATCATTAACCTCTCCCATATCAATATCATGAGAGCTATTTTCTGTCGCACGTGACAATTCCCGGTTGTTTAATTCGAAAGAACTTCCATTTTCTTCTGATGTCCTAGATGGAGATGGTGCGTATAATTGTGAGTCCTGAATCTCATGAATTGAATTCCGGCTTTGT